TGTCTGACGTGATGTCCCCCCGTCGAAAGGTAGGCTCTCCAAACCGGCAGCACGCCAACTCCGCGTCGCAGAGACACTTCTATAGAACTGAGCGTCCCATTCTAGAACAAATTTGAGAACAAGTCTGACGCCGTCACACTTGAAACGCACTTGCCTTGTGAAAACATTTACAATGTAAAAACACCAAACGCTTTTCGCCACCCTTGTTTGTGCGCGACGCTCACGCTTGCCAGGCATGTGCTGTGGTTGTGGGTGTGGCTTCATTGGCTTTCCTTACCTCGCACGCGTCTCTTTTTGGGTGAGGCAGGCTGTTTCTGGTGAACCCGATGGAATCTGTGCTTGGGTGGCGGCGGCCTGGGAAGCTGCTGGTCTGCTTCTCGATGTTTTCAACCCCGCTCCACAGATCAGTTGATAGCAGTGGCTCTCAACTCGAACAACCCCATTCCACAAGTGTTTCTGGCACACGTTCATACCGGAAACTTTAAGGCATGAAAAGAATCAATCAGATCATTGGTTTTACCCAAGGCATGCGACAAACGGATGAGTCAAATCGGTAGCTCGCCATGATGATCAACACGACATGCACTGACAAGCACGTGCATATGGGCTCAACAAACGCCTCTTGTTTGTCAAACAACAAAAAGGGCTGGAGGACCAAGGAGCGAAATACAAGCGGGGGGCGGGGGGTGCCAATGCCCTCGTGTGTATATTCACCCTGCACGTGGGACCGAGTTAGAAAGGAGTGTGGTACAGTAGCAAACATATGGCAGTGACGCACACCACGCAGTAGCAACATTGACGTACTCTCAATCACACCACCCGCCAAGCATCACACCAGACCGATGTCGTGCCTTCAGAATGATTGCTTCGGCCTCACTCAGCTCCAACCAGTTTGCCTGCGACTTGCCACTGTTCGAAGAGAAGAGAGAGAGAAAGAGAGAGACAAAGAAGAGAGAGAAAGAAGGAGAGATAAAGAGAGAAGAAGAATGAATGAATTGGTTCAGAAGAGAGGAGAGAACTGAAGGGGACAGCAGCGTTGATTCTGCCGCAAGTATGTCCCTTGCTTCTGCGTTCTGTCTCAAGTGTGTGTGTCTGTGTGTCATAAACTGTTTGCAGTTTAGCATGGTGCGTGGTTTTACTCGGTCCTGCGTCATCCTTTAAGCGGACTATTTGGAGTGGAGTATGGTAGGGGCCAAGCCACTTCGCACCCAACGGGAGTGTTGCATTTGGGTGAGTCACGTGGGATAAACGTGGGGCTGGAGCATCCGCTCATAATGGGTGTGGGGTGAGTGTCAACGCGGGTCAGTTGATGTGTTTGACGTTTGCGACGGCAGTCGGATGGTCTCGTTTCTGTGCAGGAAAAAAAAATGGACCTAGCTGGCTTGGGGTGTGTGCTTTTCAACTACGTTGCTGCGAAGTTAATCATTCATTTCAGGCATGGGGACATTGTCAACCCGGGCGCGAAAGGGTGCGCACCACCTGAAATGACGAAGGCTCAACGGGTGGTCTGTCAACCCCATCGCACAAATCAGCTCAGGTGTCTCTCACTTTCTCACCCCGTTTTCTCGAATGTCCGCAGGGGGTTTCACTGTCAAGTTGATTCCCCAAGCAGCTGTTTGTCCTTTGACCCGATATTCAGAGGTCGTGGTGTGGTTGGGTACAGACACACCAACCAAGTAAGGACCTGCGCATAGCAGCTGGGTAAAGAGTCTACGCCGAGAGCTGTAGGGTGTTGGGATCATCATTCTGTCCCACGGTAGGTTCAAGCACACCCCTCGAAACCAATGCCTTTCCTTCATTGCCTGCTTTATGCCGGTTGGTGAAAGTCCACGCTGTGACCAATCCGAGAAAGAGGGGTAAGCGGCGCCTGCGTACCAAGCCCCCGCTCTCCGCCTCGCCACCCTGGCTGACGATTGACGTCGTTATTTGCTGTGGAAATGGCCTCCGTGGTTCTGGCCAGTTGCGAGGAACTGGTCGGAAGAGGTGGCATTTCCCCGCAACACGTCGAACGATTCATCTCGTTCTTTTCGTTGCCTGTCGGCTTTTGCTTTGCGCCCCATTTTCCCCACCGACCGGGTGGCCTGCTACAGTTTGCCATGATGCAGCCCACCACACGCTGCCTCAGTGTGCAGACCATGAACGCTGATTGGAGCAAGCGCATCATTGAGAGCAGATCGTCATCGAAGAAGCAGCAGCAGCAGCAGCAACAGCAGCAGCAACAGTCCATCACGAGCGGCCGTACCAGCCCTTTGGGCCGGGTTCAGTCGCCGCCGAGTCGACTTGGACAGATGACGACCAGCGCACCCGCCGGACTGGTCCCAGAGCAGCGCGTTGCACGCCTTCGCTTGCGGCGCTACTCGTTCACCGCCTCGGAGGTTGAAGACCTGATGTCGCGCCTGCAAGTGAATGATAACTTTGCCAATGCTCCCCTGATTGAGGGTTTTGACTGCAAGGCTCTGGTCATGCTCATGACGAGCTGGCCCGCTGCTCTGCAAAAGACCATTCAAGAGCTGCTCGTCAAGTTTCATGCCGAGGTCGAGCTCGCCAACTTTTCCGTCCGCGAGGTGCAGCAAAAGCATCGCCATGTATGCCTTCGACGTATGGAGATTACTGGCGAGAAGGCCTGTCGTCTGGCCGAGGATCAACACGGCCAGCTCGTGGATCTGGGCTTTCGGCTAACGAGCCGCCTGCAGATGCAACAGGTCGCGTTGATCCGTGCCGTGCGCAGCATCATTGCCAGCGACCAGCCTGAGAACGTCCTGGCCCAACAGCATTGCCTGCGCCACTTTGACGATCTCAAGCAGCACTATGCCCAACAGCGCAAACAATGGACCAACTATGATCGCCATTTTTATGAGAGCCTTCGAGACCGCACCTTTTGAGGTGTCAGCAAGCTCCCTCTATGTCATGCCTTTTTTTTATTTACCCCCTTCTGATAATAAACCTTTGGATACTGAACGATAACCGATACTAGATGAATTTGAGCGCGAGCCCGGCTGCCGAGCTCTTGGCGAGCGTGTCTTGCCTTTGCCAAGGCCGTGGCTTGATCTGCTGGTCAGAGCAAGCTCATTTAATTTGCGCTGAGCGCTTTCATATTATTGATATATACATGAGAGGTTTGATTGATTGCCTCATCGAATCGAAATTTTCAAACTCCTGAATTGATGGTTGAATCAAGCCTGACTGACGGTCTGTCTGTCCTTCTTCCTGAATTCTGAAATTCACATCGGTGGGCGGTGAGGCCAATGAGATAGGCAAGAGAGTGCACCAACGACGTACGCTTGCGTTTGAGTGCCTGTGGCAGTAGGCGAAAGGTCGGGGACGTAGGACTGGTTGGGTAGCTGCAGCAGCAGCAGGACGGGGAATGGACAGAAACTAAAAAAAAGGGGTCAGCGCCCAAATCCAAAAAAAAAAAAAAAAAAAAAAAAGGCGCGCCAACCCCCTCAACAAAACAACAAGTTGGAGGGGGCATGTTCATTTAGTGATTCAGGCCCAGGCTTTACGCTTGGTAGTAGCAGTGTCAGGATCTCTAAAGCTTATTCGCTTACTGTAGAACACATGACCTCTGCAGTGCCTCTGACAATGCGTTTGCAAAGGGAAGAACGTACGTTAGTGGTTCCGTTGCATGTTCAGTTCGCAGTGGTATAGCAGTGTAACCGCTATCAGTTCGTTGCTTGCCTTGGGGGGTGTCTTTTTTCTCATGGTGGTGGTGGTGGAGTTTGGGCCATTTCCCCGGCTTGCTCGGCTTGAGTGCACGTCTCGTCTTTGCTTCCGTGTTTCCACTTTCAGACCTGTGACCTATGAGACTGGCGGTCACTCTGTTGCTTCTCTCGGTCCAAGATCATGGCGGAGCCACCTCGCAAGCGTGCCAAGCGCAAAAACTACTACAATCTTGAGGACGAGAAAGCCGATTTGAAGAGCTTTGGTCCCTTTGCCACCCGGATCATCGATGACATCAAAGGTATACCAGGGTCTTATCCCATGATTGACCCGCAAGCTCAAGCAGGCACTCAGATACCATGGTCAGACTGCGTGTTCGCAAGGTTGAAGTCGAAGGAGACAAGCATGGAGGCCGAACAAGCAAAATTGCGCCATTGCTTGAGGTTTTACAATACACTTGTCGTCACAGTGGTGCTCAAGAGCTTTGCTGCAGCGTACAATCGCTCACAGAACCGGAAAGATAAGCGAAACAGCCGGGCACGAAACAAGGCCTCCACGAGCCATGATGCCCAAGCTCAAGATCAGTCTAGTCCCTCCCCGTCCACTGATCAAGCCGTTATGGCCGATTTGGCGAGCCTCTTAGGGGGCACCGCACCAAGTGGGCCTGGTTCTGGCGGCCAAGCGGACCAAGGTCTAGAGCGGGTTGGTCTGCTCCATCCCGCTGTTCGCGCACCCACCGCCGGTCGGCACTGCAATTTGAGCCTCTTTGGGGCCACCACACCGAGTGGGCCTGGTTCTGGAGGTCAAGCGGCCCAAGCTGAAGACCAGCCTACTGTTGAGGAGAGCGACCTGGACGGTTCTGACGACTTTGAATCCGACGTTTCGAGTTTGAGGGCGCATGATAACCCGAGCGCGACCACACCATTGCACCCCCCGCTTTCTGATCAAGATAACGATGCCACGCGTGCCCAAGGCTATATTGACAAGCGGAACTATTCCTCCCCGCTGGAATTCGGTGCAGCCCCTTGCAATCCACCGTCGCCAGATCATGATACCGCTGTGCCCCCTTACAGGCCAAAGTTGCCACCTGGACGATGATGCGCCGGTTCGTCCGTCACCCGATTGTATTCATGAATGATGCATACTGTTGCATCCCTTTCCCACTAAACCGCAGTATCATCATCGTGTGGGTGGGGGTGGGTGCTCACTTGTCGCTTTGTCGGGCACGAGCCAATGCGCATGTTGACGCCCACTCACTAGTGGCAACAGTCTCGTATCATTGTTTTCTTTTCTTTCTTGACGTGATGTGCTCTTAATTCGCCGACCTGGTCTCTAACAGATACCGAGACCAAGCTCTGGTTCGACCTTGTGATGCTTTAAATGTTCTTGCCTGGCCGGGCACCCTTATCTTTCCATGTCCGGTCGTTCGTTCTGTGACTGTGGATGTGATGGTTTCTCCTTGGACCCGTGCTGAGCTGAGTTGAGCTCGCTCGTTGTAGTCAATGTACGTACGTGGGGATTCACGTGCGCTCGATCGTTCTTGATAGCCTGAGGAACTGAGTTGTGTGAGTTGTGTGAGTTGTGTGAGTTGTGCTCAGAAAGCGCGGCATTGTGAGTGCGCGCGCGCGTGTATACGTGAGTCAATCCGTCTTTCCCGCTTCAGAGAGAATTGACATGTCATTGTACTCCTATCTGGGGCTGGCCACGTTCTATACCCCCACCCATCCTGTTCACGTTCTATACCCCCACCCACCCTGGTCCATTTTGGCCAGCTCGGTCCCCCACCGCTCCCAAAGAGGTAACAGACGTAAACTACCATATTTGCATCACAAACTCTCTTTAGGAAGACTAATAAAACAGCAAAAACCGACAAAATACAACATCTTCTTTGACCACAGTTCATCTACATCTACATACGTTTCTGATGTTTTTTACTTTTCGTTGTTTTGATGTTTTTTTGTGTTTTTTTTTTTTGTTTTCTCTCTCTCTCTCTCTCTCTCTCTCTCTCTCTCTCTCTCTCTCTCTCTCTCTCTCTCGCGCGCGTGTGTGTGGCAGCTGGAATTGGGATCGGGGGGTCACTGGGGCAGTTGGCAGTTGTGATTGGCATGAAGATGAGGTTGGCGGTGACGGTGGCGGTGGCGATGGTGGTGGCCCTGGTGGGGGGCGTGCGGGCCATGAATGTGGAGCAGCTGACGGAGATGGCTGCGGTCATGGGGGAGGAGTTTGAGACGGAGATCGCAGCGGCCCGTGCGTCGTGGAGCGCCTTCAACTTGACCATGCGCGATGGCGTTCAGCTCTGGACGGTGTTCCTCAATCTGCATAGCGAGGGCACCTGGCCAACCGTTGTCATCCGCAGCCCTTACGGTCCCGATGGCACGGAGAATCTTGCCGATCTCTTCCTGCCCTTTGGTGAGAAATGTTTGGATAAGCTACGGTGCCGCCCCCTCGTTCGTGCATGCGGCTTTGGCAAGATCCGCAACCATGATCGAAATGCGGCGGGGCCACGGCATGCTGCCTGTTGTCTGTTTGGCAAGCTCAAGAAGAGCCCTCGGTTTTTTTGGCCGTGACCACCACTCATGCAATCGGCTTTTCGTCCGTCCAGGTTTCGTGGTTGTGGAGCAGAATCAGCGTGGTACCGGCCAATCGGAAGGCAACTTTACTTTCTGGTCGACCTGCCCAGATGACGAAGCTGACACGATTAGCTGGATCAAGCAGCAGGTATCGATATGAAACCCGCTCTAACCTGCTCGTTTCCGATCGCGCCGCTCATTTGTTTTTCCGCCCCGCCCATCGCTAGTCCTGGAGCAATGGTCAAGTCTACATCATGGGAGCTTCAGCCGATGGCATCAACGCCATCTTGGCCATGCGCCAGCAGCAGCAAGAACTGGGCCAGTGGCTTATTTTCAGCCTGGGCGTCGGCTACGCCGCTGCCTTTCAGGGCGGGGCCCTCAAGCAAAACCTGGCAAAGGAATGGCTCAAAGGCATGCAGGACTACCGACCCGACGCTCCCAGCTACTACGAGACGGTGCTGCTGCCCCACGAACAGTATGGCGATTGGTGGCAGCAGCGCACTCTCAACAACGACTCCACCATCACCTTCCCCTCCATCTTCTGGGCCGGTTCGTGACCGCACAGACTTCAGTGGAATGCGTGTGATACTTTTTCTGGCGGTCACACAGAATCAATGAGGCCCGGGTGGATTTGCCCTCACCATCTCACGCGGCTGCATTCCCATGGCAGGCTGGTATGACATTTTCCTGCAGCCCATGATGGATACCTTTGAGGGCTACCTTTACAAGAGTGTCGATCCTCAACAATCTCGCATGATTATTGGCCCTCGCGGTCACTGCCTCACCGAGCACCCGTTTCTGTACGTTGTCTCCTGTCTCTCGCCCCATCTTGTCTGTGTTGTTCATCTTCACGACATGGATTGCCATTTCCGCACGCCCTTCCAGCTTCCCGGATGACCGCTACGCCGAGGTGTGGAGCTACGAAACAGCACTCAGCATCTACGGCAACGGCACCCTGCCCGCCTCCCCCCTCTACCCGCGCTGGCAACGAGCCATGGCCAAAGTAAGCCTTGCATAAGGTGTAAATGCACCGCCGCTTCCTTTCTGGTTCATCCACACCTCATGACTGGGTTTGGCTGGCTCTAGTATCTGGGTGTTGACGGCTACAAAGCGGCCCATAATTTGGAGCGCTACACCCTCTATGTGATGGGCCCTTCGCGCGGTGCCCCGCCCTCGGCCGATGTGACGGCAGTCGCAGCCGAGAACACCACGGGCATGTACTGGACCACTTCACCCGAGTTTCCCCAAGCAACAACGCACAACTTGTTCTTGGATGACGCCGAGCGACTGCAAGAGTTGAATCCTGCGGTGAGACCTGTTGATTTCTCTCCTCTCTGTGCCATTAAACCTGAAACCGAATTGCTTTGCTTGTAAAACCATGCGGTGTTTAATCAGGGTCCACGCCCCTCTGCACCCTCCTTGTTGCCTGTACTCACCTGCACTGCTTGCCGGTTCTTTCCTTGTCGTTATAGACGCAAAATTCCAAGACCTACTTGTACAATCCCAACAACACGGTACCTACCGTAGGTGGCAACAACCTGGAGCTGGCGTGCGGTCCCCATGACCAACGCCCAGTGGAAAACCGCTCCGATGTGCTTGTCTTCACCACTGGTCCCATGATTGAGGACACGGCGGTTGTTGGCCGAATTCGGGTTCGCCTCTTTGTTTCGAGCGACCGGGTGGACACGGACTTTACCGTCAAGATCTCCGACGTGTACCCATTGCTCAAGGGTGGCGACTCAATCTTGATTGGCGACTCGATTCAGCGCATGCGCTGGCGTAATGGTCCCGAACAAAACGCCGCACCCATGGAAGCCGGTGAGATTTACGAGATCACCATTGATCTGTGGCCCACGGCCTACATCTTTGCCAAGGGCCACCGTTTGCGCTTGGTAGTCTCGAGCAGCAACTACCCGCGTTTCAGCGCCAACCCCAACAACGGGCTGCCTCTCGACCAAAGTGGCCCGATTCTGGCAGCCAATAACACCATTTACTTTGGCGGAGACACGCCGTCGGCGGTAGAGCTGCCCGTCGTGAGCGCCGAGCAGATTCCGCGTAACGTGCCCATCCCCTGAGCCCAAACGCCTCTTTTTGTAACATCAAAGGCTTGGCTTGCTACCCGCCACATTGGATACCATGAACTAGCGTGGTTGCATAGAGTCAATTGACCAACTCACGTTTCGGTCGCAAACATTCCCTGCACACCATTCAGTTGACACACACAATCTGAATTCTTCTGCTCCGCATGCAAAAACAAAAGCAAGAACAACAAAACACCTCGAAAGACTGGTTCTGATAAAATTCCTTGGCATACAGGCTTCATTACAGCACGAGAGTTTCTCGCGAATAGACGGGCACCCGTTGAGGCATGTTGCGCGTTTGCTTGGGGTTTTTATTAGCGTTCTGGAGAGCCCGGAGCACTCCCAGCAAAGGCGCAGCGGCCTGGGCAATCGCCAGATGCGCGTTGATGGCCCGTTGCATCGACTCCAGAAGCGCAGCCCTTCAAAGTCAAACGCACCACAAGCACTTGTGAGTGGAATACCAAAACATTACCAAAGCAAATAAACATGCTTTTGTTTCGTTGGCAACAGCCACAGACAAGTGAGTCACCGGCTGCAACACAACATGTGGGTAATCAACTCACCCTTCGGGAGAAGTGACAAGGCGCAGCGCCAAAGCATCCACGAGCGTCGTGGCAATGACAATCAGCGCCGGAACGGCAGGTGGGCGCTCCACAAACAAGGCATCACTCGATTGCAGCAGAAGCAACTGCAAGAGTGTAAGCAGGCGCTTCAACAACGCCTACGATGATCATGGTCGTCGGCAGATGGCACGTGGTAAATCAGAATCAGTACGCCCAGCACAAATTCAGCGGGCACCAGCTGCGTACCTCCAGTTTGTCTGCACTTATCCGCCGCGCAGCACGACCGAGTTGCAACTCGTCCACCTTGAGTAATGAGAGCTGTCACGTGCGATTGGAATGAAAAGATGAGACGGTACCAAGCCCCATGCGTAGGAGAGAGGAAAAAAAAAAACAAAAAAACAAAAAAACAAAAAAAAAAAAAAAAAAAAAAAAAACTCACCTCAGCCAGGACAGTCATGACCAGGCTTTCGGAAGCATCGTTTGCTTCGCTGTTGCATACGGCAACCAGGTCGGCTACAGCTCTGTCGCATTGTGAACAAATTTAAAGAAGCCAATCGAAGCATCAGCGCGCAGACGGTAAACGTCATCCAATGCGACCGTCACAAACAGGGCGCAGCTGGCAGACGACGTACGTGAGGAGATCTTCTTCTGTGATGACGCCCAGGGTTCGGAGAGCAAATGGTAGGGTAAACTTGTGCTGGGCCACCAGCACAGGTAGCAAGCCCGGTACGTCCCTGAAGGAATTGAGAAGGGTCAGCACATCTCACGTTGCCATGCAGGTTGTGTCGGCAGGCGTAGGGGCGATGACTGACCAGCCATTGATGGGGGCGTGGGTCAGGCAGACGCGAACCACCTCCTCAGTGAGGTGACGCTGGTCTCGAACGAGTTGACGAAGCAAACGCGCAACTTGATCCGCCGACGGCTGCGTCAAACTGACCCACTGTCGGCAGGCCTCGGCAAAAGCCTCGTCGGTCATGGACTGTAGATAAACGAGAAGGCAGAGAATGAGATTCCCAAGACACACACAAATCAATGGCTCAACAAAACCGATTTGGCGACAGCATTCGAGGGGATGCGTTAAGCCACTCTTCGCACAGCACGACCCAACCCGACCCGGCACTCAAGACACCAAGGATGGGCATACCGCTTGTTGCTGCAGGAGCGACTGCAGCTGCGATTCAGCGGTATCGGCATTGGTCGGCTCTTGCACGACAGGGGTTGCCACGTTGCCGGTGGTCAGCAAAGTGGCGAGGGTCACCTCCCGACGATCCTCATCGGTCAGGGGCATGGCATACACTGCGTAGCCAGAGTGACGATCAAAGGCAGGCCCGCGAATGTGAGATCGCGCAGCAAACAAGAAGCTGAGGATTTGCTTGATGAGGACATTAACGCACTGTGCTGGGAAGTGACAACCACGAGCGCCTCCTCTGAGCTGGCAAAGGCCAGCGGGTGCTGTTTCTTGCTGGGGACCGTAAGGGCTTGTTGAGTGTTCTGTGCACACAACAAGAAGCAAGGGCTCGCATGAGCATGGCTAAAAGCAGATGCTAGGCTTGCCGCTGGCTGTGTCGGCGAGCAAGGCACACGTACGATGATGCGATTGAACTTGGTGGCAATGGTGAGAACATCATAGTGAGTTGATTTGCGTTGTTGCAAGCACAAGTAAATGCGGCCCGGGCCGGCACACATGGTGACACCACGCTCAGTGGGCAGCTGTTAACGTCGGTTCGGTCGGGTATGAGAGGATGTATAGAATGCTCGAATCCAACCAGACCATGGCAAAGGCCGCAGATGGGCATTGTACCTCGTAGATGTCGGGCAGGCTCAGGGGCATCTGTCGAAATGAAGCGCCGTGGCGACGATAGTCGTCCAGGCACAGCAAAGTGGCGTTTGTGCGAGCATCTACGACTACGGTGGCGTGTACGCGGTGAGTGCGTGACATTCGGTACGAGTCACCAAAGCCTGCTGAGAGGAAAATCGCAATGCAGGCGCTCGTACCAAGCAGATAGAGGCTGTGACCCCATGCACACACGTCCCGAACGACCGCATCCTGGGCCAGTCTGCATCACAAGAGTTGAATGCCATCAGAGCACGATGAAGGGGAGAGAGTGATGGGGGGAGGGCATGATAGAGAGAGAAAGACTGACTTGGGCAGATCCAAGATGGTGGGATTCTCGAATTGATCCACACAATGGCAAGTGACTTGGCTCGCCTAGAGCAGAGAAGGAAGCGGGAAACGGAAAGGAGAGACAGAAAGGGAGGTCGAGGGCAGGTGAGCAGGCGGCACTGGGACAGGCGCTGGGTATGTGAGGCTGAGTGTGGGCCAGTGTTTTACCGAGTTCAGGGTGACGAGGGCAAGGGCAGGGATCAGGGTGGTGAGGACTGGGGCGCCATCCAGTGGGGAAATGCCCAATGAGGCAACCTGAGCAGTCTCAAGGTCCACGTGGAAGAAATGCACGCCGTCCTAGAAATGTGCCAAGGGCCAGAAGGGGGGGCTTTGAGGAAGAGAGGAGAATACATCTGTGGTGGCAGGTAGGCTTGCGCAGCTTTTTCTGGAAATTTTCCTCAGAACTCAGCCTCCGATGCTTGCACATGTTTGGAGGCGGGGCAATTATTGCCCCACGAACGAACACACCTTGAGGATGCAAGCAAAGATGCCCTTGGCTTCATCGACAATGACCAGGTCCAAGGGGGCAGAAGGGAGCATGGCAGCCGCAGTCGGCGTGGCGCCCAGATTGCTGCTAAAGGGCTTGATGACAACCGTCTAGGTGGTGGCGTTGCAAGCAAAGGTAAACGCACTGATGACAACAGGAAAAAGGGGGTGACAGGCGGCAGGTACATACGACATCAGTGGTGTAGACGACGATGGACTGCATGATGAGTTCCTTGGTGGGCAGGTCTTGGGGGTTGGGAGGCAGGAAGAAGACGGCATGGGAGGCGTCGGCGGGCAATTTGACATTGCCAGCGCTCTCACGAGTGTCGGCCTGCAAGAACAGTGGGCAGGGGAAAATTTGAGGGGGTAGAACAGCAGCTGGGCGTGGTGGAGGGTACTTGGTCTGAGCTGCAAGGATGGGACGCATAGCCCAACCTCGTAGATCCATAGATTGTGGTCGGCGGCCAAACCCGCTACAAGGGTCTGGGAGAGTTGGGCGCGCAAGAAGCGCTGTGCCTTGCCTAAGACCATTCGCGCCGTAAATAGTTGATGAGGCATTGGTTCACAAGGAAAGGAGATTCATGGGTATGTGCGAGACGATGGCCATGGAAGGAGAAAGGAGAAAGGAGAAAGAAGGAGAGGGAGAAAGGAGAAAGGAGGAGGAGGAGAAGGAGCAGGAGCAGGAGCAGGAGCAGGAGCAGGAGAAGCAGGCAGGAGAAGCAGGCACGAAGAAAGCAAGCAAGCGGAGAAGAAGTGATGACAGCGCCAGAAAAAAAAAAAAAAAGATGCATTCCAGAGTGCCAATAGGAGGCGGGAGGAAGAAGAAGTAGAGGAAGAAAGAAGGAAAAGGGAGGCAAATCGAGCAGAGGAGGAGGAGGAGGAGGGAAGGAGGCGGCGGGGAAGGAGGGAGGAGGGAGGAGGAGGGAGGAAGGAGGAGGGGAAGGGGGAGGAAGGAGGCGGCGGGGGACGGGAGACGTACCGGTGAGCGCGGCCACCTCGTGCCATGCGGCCATGATGCTGACTTTCTGTGTTTCAAAAATAGAGGCGGTGAGTTGAAATTGTGAGTCTGCTCGAGGTCCAGGGGGAACTGGGAGATTGTTGGTGTGACAACTTTAAAAGCGGGGCGACTTTGGCGTAGAGATGGAAAGCAGAGGAAGAGGTACATCGGATGTATCATATGAGAGTTCGAGGAGAAGAGGAAGAGTCGCTGACTCGATTGAATGCTCTACGTCAACTCGGGACAGTACGAGCAACTTATAATACTAATGTGCATCGGGATCGCACAGACACAGACACAGACCCCGAAGACCAACACAGATACAGACACAGATGCAGACACAGACACAGAGACAGACACACAGACATAGAGACACAGTCACACCACTTGTCCATCCCTCGCCCACGGACGCCCACGAACACCACAACGCAGACGGCTCATTCTTTTAGATGAGGCGGTCGGCGATGAAGTCGGCCATGATTTGAGGAGCGGCGCTGTCAAAGCCAACAAAGTCTAGCATGTTGGGGTCGGCGGGGTCGGCAATGCTAAAGTTGGTGCTGCTCATGCCGGCGACGACCAGCTTGCTGTTGGGGATGCCGCTGTGCTGGCGGTAGCGGCGCATGGCAGCGGCGGGTTGCTCGTTAAAGTAGGTCTCGTTGTCGGTGTAGACAATAAAGGCATCAACGGGCAGGCCCAGGGCTTCGGCATTGCGGATGGGCAGGGAGCAGTCGGTGGCACCCATGCGAATGGCCTCAATCTTATTAATGACCTCTTCGAGTGTGTCCTTGCGGCGGAGATGGATGGGGACGAGCTCGTCGCTAAAGCCAACAACTCGGGCAGCCTTCTCGGTGCGGAGGGTGAGCATGCACATGACCGCAGAGGCCTCACGTGGAGTCAGGTCCGAGCCGCCACAGTTGCCCCAGGTCATGCTGCCCGAGACGTCGAGCGCGATGAGAATCCTCTTGCCCGTGGGTTCCACCGTGTGGAAGGACAGGTAAAAGGCTTTCTCAAGGGCGTCCACAAGAGCGGGCACAGGCTCCCACGTCTGCCCGCCTCGCAAGCCCCGGCCAGAGCTGTAGACCTTGCGTGCTGAGAGCACGGCTAAGGGGTGGACGCGGCCCTTTCGCAGGACTTCCTCGCTGGTAATGAGCTGAACCATGGCCTCGAGGTTGTGGGCCTCTTCAAAGAGGCCGAGGCGCGTCATCTTGTTCAGGTTGCGGATGGCAGCCGTGATGGGCATGTTGGGCAGCAGCTTTTGCCAAATCTGGGGCAGCTTGAGCAAGTCGGTGGAGAGGTGCTCACGGGCCAGCTTGTGGCGAGGGATCAGCTCCAAGACCTCATCAAGGGTATCCTCCGTAGCCTTGGTGGTGGTCTCCACTGCTCGAAGAAAAGCGAGCACGGGCTCGACTTCAGCCAAATCACTGGGGCGGAGGTTGCCCAGGAGCTCGTCCACGCCGGTCATGCCGTGCGTGATGTAGCGGAAGATGAGCTGCTGGCTGCTGTCGCGAGTGCGGGGGTGGACGAGGCGGAGGAGATCGCGGTGGGTCCAGGACTCGCGGTTGCGGTACTTGGTGACGGTGAAGGCCAGGCGATCTGCGGGCTTGCTGGTGTACCAGCGTGCAATAGCGGCGCGCGCAACGCGGCCCCAGCCCTTGGACTGGCCCAGAGACGTCATAAAGCCGACAAACATGAAGAGGTGGGTGGGAATGCGGCAAACCTCAGGCAGCATGGTGTAGGCCGCCTTGACCACGGCCAGGTCAGTGCTGCGGCATGCCATGGCCAGCGCAAACATGGTCGGGGTCTGGCGGGGTGCACGGCCACCCAAGGAAACCGCCTTGATCGCCTCCAGGGCCTCAAGGCCACGGCCGTCGTTGAACAGACGCAGCAGGCACCCGGCGTTCTCCACCGTCAGTTGACTCTCTGAAGCGTAGAAAGTGCCACCCTCGGTGCCAAGCATCAGGAAGCGGTGCAGGCGACCGAGGTCGTCGATTTCGTACGACGCGCCACCGGCGCTGTTGACTGTGGTGGGCATCGAGCTCATGGTTGCGATACTCTTGATACTTTCTCAATCGTAGAGCTTAAAGTACTTCTCAAACAACGCTCGCTCCGCGTCCGGACCAAACAAGACCACCTTGCCAGTCAAGTCAAGTGAAGCCTCTACGAGCAATGTCGAGAAGAAAATGCCTGTCCGTCCCCGCTGCCTTTCACTTGAACACCAGCGCGCCTCTGTGTGTGTGTGTGTGTGTGTGTGTGTGTGTGTGTGTGTGTGTGTGTGTGTGTGTGTGTGGATGCTCGTATCAGGCTGCTAAAGATAGGAGATGAGACGTTGATCAACGTTGTTGCTTTGCCTTGGGCTTTGAGCCAAAGTGCATAAAAGTCTACATCAAGTAACACTTATAACATTAACAAAACAACAACTTCTCGTATGTATACTACGAAAAATCAAATGTCAGCCCGTGTTACATCTGTGTGCTAAATTTAGACGGGGACCAATTCTGGCAAGAGAGCGAGAGAGAGGCGAGAGCACAGTGACCCGGAGGGGGAGGGGGAGGGGCACGACCGCTGACAGGACGGGGAGGACAGGGAGGGAGACGCAGTGGGCTTTGTGATTGTCGAGGCCATGAGGGCTGGGGTTGGTGTTTGCGGGTTGTGGGTGGTGGCGCTGGGGGTGCTGGGGGTATGGGGTAGTGGTGTTGGAGCGTGGGGATCAGATGACGAGTTGTTGCCGTGGGATGCCGCTGCTGAGCGGGAGCATGCAGGCTGTGCCCTTGTGTTTGGGCCCGCGGCGAGTGCCTTGGGGGCGAGCCTGCGACCCTGGCTGACGGAACAGGTCCCACAGCAAGGCCTCGTCGTGGCTTATGATCTCATGCAAGATAGCGACGCCCTCGTGTACCCGCCGCGGCCCCGTGCTCAGTCTTGCCTTGGCGCACCTCCCAGCCGCCCTCCCCCCGTCGCTTTTCCGCACGCGCTGAACGCCGCCGCCCTGCCGCAGTTCCTGGAGCTGGTCAACGCGGCATGCGGCACGTTTTTGGCCCCAGATGGTGGGCTCACGGCGCTAGGTCGGGCCGTAAAGGATCAGCAAGCTCGCCTCTTCTATCCAGCCCGGCATGCAGAGGCGTGTCCGGAGCTCGATGCCGCCAGCCTCGACTCTGCTCGCTTTTGGCGCGACTATATCCTGCCGGCCCGCCCTGTCATTCTTCGCGGTCAGTCTTGTGCTTCACTGTGGTGCCAAGTGACGTTGTGCGTCGATCTGTTGCCCTTGTCGGCGTAACATCATGATCACTGCGCTTCTTTTCGTTGTTGCAGGTCTTCTGGCAGATAGTGTCGCCATGACCAAGTGGAGCAATGAATACCTGCGTCAAACCTTTGGCACGCAGGCCGTGCACGTCAAGTTTGCACCCTTGGGCCAGTTTGAGGGCATTGAAGATGCTGGCCTCTGGAACGCGCGTCCAGAGCGCATCCCCGCGGCGGTGCGCGCACAACTAGCCCACCCCGAGCTTGTGGTGGTGCGCCCAGCCCATCGTGACATGGCCCTGCGCCATTTTCTGGATTTTGTTGAGACGGCTCGCGTGGTCAATCGCACGGCCACGGCCTACCTCGAGTACACGGAAATGGCCGCCCACTTTCCCGCGCTCTTGCCCGATCTGCCCCCCCTGCCCATCACCGCCGAGCTTCCGCTACGCCATCAAAACCTTTGGCTCAGTGATGGCCATACCCGCGGCAAGATGCACTTTGATCCCTTTGAGAACATCCTGGCCATGGTGTCGGGGCAGAAACGCCTATTTCTGTACGCTCCGACCAACAACTCGCTTCTAGGCGAGGGGCATATCCCCGAGGCCGAGCTCACCTATTACCCACACCTCGACGAATTTCGCCGTCATCGCTTACAAGAAGCTACGGCCATGGTCATGGCTGCCGTTGATATCGAGGCGCCCGACTTTGCCGACCGCCACCCGCTTCTGGTTCAGGTGCCCTATCTCGATTGCACCATCCAGCCGGGCGACGCCCTCTTCATGCCCGCCTTTTGGTGGCACGAGGTCCAGTCCCAGCCCGACGCCGACGAGCACCGCAACCTGGCCGTCAACTACTGGTATGAGCCCGTGTGGACTCGCGAATTTCCCTGCCCCACCTGCGATCGTGTCTACAACCGCCACATCTACGGCGATGCCCTCCTGCGCCACCAAGCCCAAGACCAACCACATACCCCACCCGCGCCCTCGTATAGCCACCATCAGCCCCATTAGCTCATCTTATTCTATCAGCTCCTTTCACACAGCCCTCTGAAAGCTCCACCGTCACCGCGCCCGCCCTTTCTCGCTGCCGCCTCGGGTCCGGCGCGAGCCGCAGCTCACGCTGTGGTGATGATGAACCAGATCTCAAACACGTACATTTTCCTTATCCAGACCAACAGTAAATCAAATAACTGTAACATTACATAATGCATAAAATACTGTTGATCTCATCTATACGCCGCGAAAAGTCGCAAAACGTCTGCAAAAGCTAAAGAACTAACAACAGTAACGCTTCGTTCACCTGCAATAAGTCTGAATTTAAAATAGAAAACTTGAAAATTCAAATTTTTCAATTTTCAAAATCAACGCTCGTGAGCGCGCGGTTGCGGGTGCATCACTCACTGGCAGCTCCCCGGTGGTGCCTGTGGCTCGGCTCGGCTCGAACGACACTGCCCTGGATCGGCCGGTGATCTGATCGCTCTGGGCCTGGATGCTGGCAGAGCCTGGCGAGGGCCTGTGTGTGTTTTTGTGTGTGTGTTTGTGGATGTGAGGGTGGGGGAAGGAGGCGGGCCAGGGACAACATTGCGGGTGGGCGACCTGACATCTCGAATGTTTGCTGTGTTCGCTCGCGTAGCTCGTAGTCGTCCCGAGCGTCGGCAGGGCTGGTTTGCAGGCGGCAAGCAGCACCAGTGCCATGTCCGACTTTGAAGCCATTGATGTGGCTTTCTCTCGCACCGGTGGTGCCACCACCCGCGTTTCCATCGTGCCCCTGTCCGATCGGTGGGTCGAACATGTCTCCCATGCACACTCCTTTGCGCTCGCGCGCAGACGGTAATGATCCTTTGTCGATTCAACAACGCCCGTGTTTGCACTCGATAGTGGACTTGTGGATCTGGCTGTGGCCGCTCTGATGGAACATCAAATTCTTGGTTTGGCCGTGTTTTCCACGCCTCGGCTGCGGGTATGACCTCCCCGCCTTCCTTCATAACTTGTTCATGCCCGAGGCGCCCTGCAAACGCCTTTATGGTCCTTTCTACATGACTGCCAGCCCTTCTCATCCTGGCCTCCGCTCCGCTGCAGGCCCAAGACTACAGCCCGATTGCCGTCATGGCCATTTCCTCGGGCGTCGACACCTTTCTCTTCACCGTATCTGGTTTGTAGATCGACACCTTTCCTGGCAGGCTAGCAACTCTTTGGCAATGGATCCGCCGAAGCGATCTTGGCTTGCACCAGTCTGACTCTTCCATCCGCCTCTCCCCTCAATGTAGTGTCTGGAACTCTGCCTAGCGCACTGCAGCTGCTGCTGACTCACCAGGATTACACTTTTGTGCGCACTTGTTCTTGCCATTCTTGCCACGCTCCCAGGCAGCTCACACGACCCCCCAAACCTTTTACCCTGCCTTTTGAACTTGCACTTGTAGGTTGGCTTTGACGTCCGACGTGAAGACATTGCCAAAATTTACATTGACTACGGTCAGGCCTGGTGCCCCTCAAACCTGTGACTGCACCGCACCAGCTCTGACACCTCCACAAATTGCCTTAATTTTTGCCCCGTGCACAGGCGTGGCAGTTGAGCCTATCCACGATCTCCGTGATATCTTAGCTCCAGAGACTGGTATGCTCTTCTTGCGGCGGATCCGGCCCATGGGATCAAAGCGACCGGAGGCCACGGGCTGCGACCGACGCCCCTGCTTATTGGTATTCTGTTGTGGGGTTAGGCTCAGCGTCTGTTTTCGAGGCCTTTCAACGCGAGTTCCCGGGCGGCACGTTTCGCTATCAGCGCGATGTCAAGTCCAGCGACTGGTGGCGTCGCGATCTTGATGAAGCGCAAATCTCGCTGGCCGCCTTTGACGCCTGGGCCATCCGCTACTTTTGGCTCATCGTGGCCCAGCCAAAGGGCTACCCCGTCCAAGCACGCACCCAGGTTTGCCTCTCGAACGATTTCTTCATGTGTGCTTCTGGATGGCCAATGACCCTCATGCGCGGTTGTTTACTCGGTTGTTTACTCTGATTCACTCGGTCAAAGGGCATCGAGGTATCGGAAATTACTCAAGGCATTGTTCGCGAAACCTTTCCCGGCCAGCGCCAGCCCTACCGTCGGTGCGTTGACTTTGCTCGACCCTTACGGCAGATCTTGCGTTTGCTCTTGCTGGTCGCTTTTTTTTTTTTTTTTTTTTTTTTTTTTTTTATCCATTCAGACATTTATATGGCCGCTGGCCTGGAGTCGAAGCTGAGCTCATAAGCGCTCGCCAATCCATGCTCGCGTTTTATTAGGGACGATCGCTTTGTGGAACACGAGGTCACAAGTATGTCCACTTGCCCCTTGTTTTCAAGTGGCCCGCCAGCATAGGTCTTTTTCCATGCTCACGCCTGCGCACATCGTCACATAGTGCGGGAGGGGGCTGACATGTCCACAAGCTTTGCTGCGACCGGCTGGTCCAGCCACGGTGGTGTTTCCATGAGAAACACTCGCAGCGCTGCTGAAAACGCGCCGCAGGGCGGAGGCGAACCTGTCGCCCCACCGCCATCCTTTGCTGCGTCAAGCATTGCGCCCAATGGCGTCCCACAAATGCAAGCTTTTGGGCGCGGGCTCGAGCCCTCGGGTATGCGCTTGCAGGGGCATGCCTCGTGATCATGCCTAAGCTGCCTTTTAGTTTGCCTCATTGTCTGCCGGGCTGTGATGATCCGATCAAACTCTTGCAGATTCCATCGCTGCACACTTGCAGCCGACCATGGCCGAACACACGGCTGAAGCACAGCAGGCGGCCGTGAGTTTTGAAATGCAAGAAGACGTCAACCCCGAAACTTTCTCGTGCCCATATTGCGAGCGCAGCTTTGAGGTGAGTTGCATCATTGGACGAGTCGCCAAAAACGCTTCCTGCGCTGGAAAGCAACAGATCGCTCAATGCCACCCCCGCGTTCCTACTAGACATATGCCATTCTTCAGCAGCACATGTATGCTCGTGTCAATGGCCTTTGTTACCCGGACGGCCCGGGCGAAGCCAGCGTGGACATGGCCGAGGTTGGCTTGCTCAACCGACCGCCACCAAGCTCCCTTGTTTCGGTCAACTGCCTGCTATCTTTTCTTGAATGGCTCTGAGAATACTCACTTGGCTGATGGTAGGATCAGATGGAGGACACAGAATGGAGCGCTGCTCCTGGAGATGCCCAATCCGGTGCCAATGGCCATCATGGCGGTGGCGTTGCCTTTGTGCAAGCTCCCAACGTTTCCATGATTCCTCGCGATGACGATGACGAGTTGGCTGCAGGTTCTTACGCTCCGGGACAGGCTGCACAGGCCACATCCCGGCCTAGTATGGCGCAGCAGCAACCGGCGTCTACCGACAACGGCAATCATAACCCATCAGCAGCCACGCAAGCTGCTGCTGTGCCGGTCCGTCTCATTGCAATGCCATCGCCCTTTTGCCCCACCCCCGCTTGTTTATTGGGCCCACGGCGCCCGCTTTCTGGTAAGCGCTTGGCGAATCCAGTTGGGCTCACTTGCTTGGAGCCACACTGGCCTGCCACATAGCAGCAGGGGCACGGAGCCACGGGGCGGGCACGGCACTTTGTGTCGTTTGATCCCCAGCAAAACGAGCTGCATACTGGTGGCACTCCTCTCAACTCAACCACTCGACCCATAAATGCATCGCGGTGCGACTTGAACACTTCCCCGGCTTGCGCGTGTTTGCCGATCTGGGCAGCCGACTCACTCCGGATACGACAAGATTCTTCTGCTGCCATGTCATGCGGCGCGCTTCTGACGAGCCGTTGTTTTTGCTTCTTTTGTTTTTGCCAATCGCCCCGCAGCTTCGGGACTTCACATTCCATCTTGGCCTCTCGAACGAGCCTGCTCTCAGAGAGTACGACCGGTTCTCTAGATTCTGTCAACCTCGCTTTTGTGACGCTATTGCTGTGTTGTTCTTCAAGACGCGAATAAGCGAGTCATCGTATGCTCAAACTGCCACGTTGGCCCACATGCAGGCGTGTATGGAAACGATCTCAATCTTAGCATGCTCCCCACATCGGCGGCACATCGAGGGGTGGCCTCCATGGCCAAGGACGATCGCCCCACCCATCTCGATAACCCCAACGAGTAGGTTTTGCGTGATGTCTTTTGATCCTGCCCTGTTTTCATCCGTCATATGGCGTGGATACAAGCTTGCATCACGGGAACGCTCACGGCTTCGTGCAGCACGGCCACTGGCGCTCAGGCTACAGGAGAGGCATCTATTCTGGCACAGACCATGCGCTGGGAGGGCGGGGCTAACAGCACGATGGTACGTCTAGTCTCCCGCTTCCATGGCCGCGGGCGCAGAGAACATCAAACTCCTCACTTTTTGCTTGGCTCGGGTGTTCTCAGCGACGGGCAAACGCATTCGAGCTCAACACCACTGGCGCCATGCAGCGTGCGGGTGGTTCACGACCCGGTTGGCCAGACCGCTCGGGCTTCTCTATCGGCAATATTAGTGGCAGTCACGCGGGTACAAAGCGTGCGTCAGGGTCCAACATGACTTGGCAAGCCCCTTCTCATGAAGCAGCAAGCTCCTTCGCCGCCAACGAATCCCGGGATACGGATGGCTTTCGTCGACCGTCTACTTTGGGTCAGCCGCGATCTAGCAGTGGGTCGACCTATCGTTCGCCCAATGCCACCACAAGGTACGGGCTGCATGGCCTTGACGCCAGCACCTCCTTGCTGCATTTGCCTTGCAAACGCAGAGTCTCTGGACACTGATGCCCGTTCTGGTGCTTTTGGTTGGTTCTTGATAAAGCAGAACGGCTTTTGGTGTGCATCATCCGCAAGGCGTCTATGGTCGCTACTCGGTATGTTTGGGGCGGAGGAAGGTTGCTTGAACTCTTTGTTTCGCTTTCTTTTGGCTTATCAGCAACCAGCAACCTTGCAAAGCATAATCTAGCGACTGCTCGCCTACCCTGTGTTGCTCCATTAGCGCACACCTCGGCCGGAAGTCAGAGCTTCTTCCCGTTATCGGCAAGTCTTGCGGCCCCCGCTCTTTCTGTGTCCACCTTTTTACCCACCCTGGCTGACAAGCGTGCCCCTACGCGTTTGGTAATGTTTAGAAGTCACTATTCCTCCCACAACCAGTCGCATCGCGTCGAAGCTGACACCACAGCGTTTGGTCAGCGCAACATGCCGACACTCGTGCACGCCCCGGTACAGTGCTCCGTCTCGAAGCTTCGGTCGCGCGCGCGTTACTCGGCTCGAGTGAACGCGGTTGGCTTGCTCACATTTTTTGATGCACACATGTGTCTAGGATTTGGATCACAGCGTTCGTCAGGGTGACTTGACGCGCTCTGATGTCAACATGACCAGGTGTGCGCGCGCAAAGGTCATGATGGTGTTGGTCCGTTTTATTTCATTTGGTGTTGACGCATTATTGTATCGTGTGCCCTAGGTACCACAACCAGTCCATGCAGGCCGCGCCTGGCGAGGAACCTTGGCTAGACCCACCAAACCGGTATGTTCCTCTGAATGTAGTTCACAGTGGTTTGCTTGTATCGTGCTGCTCGCTGACCCCCTTTCCTTGATGCACAGAATGCCGGTGCGCTTGGCCGTGGCTAGCACTGCCGGGGACGTTGGTCGCTTTTGAAGCTTCTGCCTAAAGACCTGTGATGATGTGTGCCATCTAATTTGCAGAGGAGGCTGATGCACAGTTGAATTAGCAATACTATCTGGCGTCAATTCATGAGTCTAATCTTGATGCAATGTTCTGGATGACACGGGCGCTGTCGTTCTTGTCAATATCGTTCTAGTTGATCTTGAACCCCTAAATGCTCAGCACTTTCACAATGGCCAGTCGCTTTCCAGACGAGCTGGCGAATCAAACATGACTGGGCAGATCTCACATGATTCCCGTGGCGACAATCAACAACATGCCGACAAAGATGCCGGCCAGTAGCGAGGTGCCCACGACCAGCATGACGGCACGCCAGACCAACTGTAAAGGGAAATGACAGGTCAGAGCAAGCACGAGTGAGAGTAGAGCGAAGCAGGGGATCAGGCTCTCGCCTGGGTTGTAGTGCATTCGCGATAAACACGGACCAACTCTCCAGTTGCCTTATCAAAAACGAGATGGAGGAGAAGAAGGTCGAGGGCACCAAATATGCGGTCAAGGATCGAGATGGTGGCGGCAGCCCGACGACCACCAGTCCGCACTGGCTCTGGCTGGCCGTCAGGTGTACGCGGCCGGCCTCGGCCAGCCACATGCCTCCGCCGAAAGTTGCTCGCCCGCCACTACACGGTGCAGGATACACAATGAGGGAACTTGTGATGTTACTTATGTTTTCAAACGTCAAGTAAGTGGGGTGTGGGGGTGTGGGGCGCGAAACAAACCAGTGTTGTGAGGTGATGGGGGCGCGGCTTGCTCCAGGCTGACTGGGATGGAACAGCAACAGATCGACGCTTGTCGATGCAAGGGGGGCCTGTCTTTGTTGGGTTGGATGCGTCAGCAAGCACAGGCTGATCCAAGGGAGCAGCAACGCCCGTAGTAGCCACATCCATGGCTGCATCTATCACGGCCATAGTCAAGTCGAATGTGTTCAACCGTGTACATGAGCATGATGCGGCAGATCAGGTGGCCGGGACTAGCATGATGAGATGCCATTTGATGTACCACTTTCAGTAGCTTCTGTTGGTTCTGGTGTTGGACCATGGCTGCGACAGATGAGGGCGCGCAGGTGGGAGATGAGTTGAACCAGAATTAGAGTCATAGAAGAGAAGAGCAGACATACTCGCGCTCAGCCTCCTGCCGATATGCAGCAACCCAGCCCAGGCAAAGGAGACGGCGAAAACGAAGCTCGTGGTTTTGAAGAACGATGGCTTCATTGGCCAAGGCAACCAACTCGCTTTCAGGCGGAGGCTATGTGGCAAACAGGCGATGGGCGAAGGCGCATGCGTCAGCCATTGAAAAAGTCCAGGCATAACCTAAGAAGCGAACGAACGGGCACCAGCGTACCTGGGCGCGGCTGGAGAGCAAGGTTTTGACGACTTCGACAGCCCCTTCAAGTATGGCAAAGTGAAGTGGTGACATTGGCGCTTGGCCGTCCACGAAATGATGCTTGCGATCTGCATCCATGCCAATCAACTGCAGGTCACGTACCCACAAGTGGGGGCAGATGTCGGTGAGAGACGAGCGCGTGGTGCATCGTAAAAGCAAGAACCATACCTTTACATAAGCATTGGTCACGTGTTCATCGTGTCGGCGGCACGCCGCCACAAGCGAGGCGTTGAAATCTGCACGCCGCTCGCGAAAGACCCGCAGCGCTCGAAGCTGTAAGGGCGAGTGAATTGTGAGCTTAGTTTGCATGCGGAATCACACTTTTGACGGAACCAGAGGGCAATCGTTGCTCGATACGGACCCGTTCATCATCGGAGAGGATGGCCACGTGAGATAATAGCACGACACAGCCATAGGTCTGCAGGGAGGCATGGTCTGGGAAGTTTTGCATCGTGGACAGCAAAACCTGCAACGAACCAAAACCAAATGAGCCTGCTTACAATGCTGTTTTCTAGGCTTTGCACGAACAGGGCTGACCTGAAGCTGATCCGTTGTCATGTACTCGCTGATATGTCCCCTCTGTGCCAGCCGCGCCAATAGACCCAGCACATTTTCGGCAAGCGCCACCTAGATCCCGCGGGCAGCGCCACGAAGGGTCAGCATCGCCGATCGGCAAACATCATTCATTGGAAAACCTTTCAAGGTGCTGGTGCTGCTGAGCGTTTGCTCTTTCTGAAGATGATGATCGTGGGGGGGGGGGGGCATATTGGTTGTAAAGACTTACGTGTTCCGGTTTGGCGCGAAGTACGCGGATGAGAGCAGCGGGAACACGATATTGGATGAGGATGCGGTGTGTGGCTGGACACACGGAGAGGTTGGTCAGGCAGAGTGCCGCATGAAACAAAACATCAATGGTTGTGTCTTGCTCGAGCAGCCTACGGATCATGCACGTCCAGGAGCATACACGTGTGAGGAGGCACGAACGATGAAGCGAGGGTGGCACTTGGGTTTGGCAGGCGGGCTTTGAGAAGCGGCAGGGTCGCACCGGAGTGCCAGTGCATGGGCCTGGCAATCAAGCAACGTGCGGGCGACCACTTCTTGACGCGTATTGGCAAGGTTGGCAAGGCAGGTAATGGCGCATTCTAAGATGGGGGTCTTGTCTTCGTGGTGCCCAGAGACGGCGATGACGGCTTCAGCCACGCCGTCTGAGAGCGAAGGATGATGCACGGGCATTGAGGCATTGAGACCTGTTCTCAACAAGGAGTTTGCGCAGGGACTGGGGTGTTATTTTTGTGTCAGTGATGGGGCCAGCATGCTACTCACCTTTGACAAGGATCTCAGTGGTCAGTTTGTGCAGAGCCAGATTACTGAGGGTGGCCAGGCTCATTTGGACGAGTTCGGCATCGGAGCTGTGCGCGTGCATGGCACGCACGACATAGACATGGGTTCGGCTTTCGACAAGTGGCAAAACATTGGCGTGGACGGTGGAGTATGCACAGAGTGAATTGATGCAGTGTCGCAAGCAAGCGGCATCATCCCGGTATCGATCCATGGCTTGGTATAACTAAGAGCGAGCGGTTGGGTGAATGGATAGGGACGGGCTAGTTTAGAAGTTGCATGAGCAATGGGGACGTGGCTAAAGACGTACAGCGCGAAGGGCCGTGGCTGGTCGCGCATTGGTCACTATGTAGCACGGGCGCAGGCCGGTAGGGTCAGGTGTTGCCAAATGATGGGAGGTGGGAGACAGGGTTGCAAACTGAGATGCTGGAGGGTAGGGCCTCTGAATCAAATCCCGGCGAGAAGCGGAGGGTACATACTGGTCTGGCTACCAAGAATGGGCATGAAGCGGAGAAAAACCGTGTTAAGCAACGTTTCACGCTCGAGCGGCGTGCCCTCGAAATTGGTAATGAGTGCCAAAGCATCATTGAGCTCCCAGTCCTGAGCCCAAAAGTCGACCACATCGAAATGGCGGGACCGAGCTGAAGCAGCCCGCGCACCATCCGGCGCAACTGCTGGGTGGTCGGTCTCAGGAACTGGGGTCGGGGTATTCGCGCTTGAGCTCACGGCTCGGGCCGTGTCTTCTGGCGTTTCCATCCAAGCGGTCACTAATTGTTCGCGAGATTGTGTTGGTGCGATGTCGGCTGATGCTCAGAGCATGCAGAACGGTTCATGTAGCATCGGTCCGTGCAGTCAAAAAGAGTAGGCCAATGACCTCCACATTGCGCGGTGTCGGGCGCGGCCCTCTCACGAGCTGATGCCCAGCGCCCTTGCCCTCGCTGTCGATGGGCTCGAGCAATCAAAAGACTCGTGCGCGCAGCGGGTCGGTCCACGTGCACCTGCAAAGGCCGGCAGAAAAGCTGATGCATGAGTGCATTTAAATTCCCAAGCCTCTTGCTCCCATCAGCCCAACAGTCCCCCTCTGTCCTCCCTGGGCGAGTCGACACCAAGCAAGCGCACGCACCAAACCTGGCCTCGACGACGACGGCGGCGACGCCACAAACGAGAAGACGGCGGTGGCCGACGTGAGGCTCACAAGTCACTGAAAATACGAGAGAGAGAGAGGTTGTGTGTGTGAGAGAGAATGAAGAGAGAATGAAGAGAGAGAATGAAGAGAGAGAGAGAGAATGAAGAGGGAGAGAGAGAGAGAGAGAGAGAGATTTAGAGAGAGAGAGAGATTTAGAGAGAGAGAGATTTAGAGAGAGAGAGATTTAGAGAGAGAGAGATTTAGAGAGAGAGAGAGAGAGAGATTTAGAGAGAGAGAGAGAGATTTAGAGAGAGATTTAGAGAGAGAGAGATTTAGAGAGAGAGAGAGAGATTTAGAGAGAGAGAGAGAGAGAGAGAGAGAGAGAGAGAGACACACAGAGAGAGACAGAGAGAGACAGAGAGAGAGAGACAGAGAGAGAGAGAGATTTAGAGAGAGAGAGAGAGAGAGAGAGAGAGAGAGAGAGAGAGACAGAGAGAGAGAGAGAGAGAGAGAGAGAGAGAGGGAGAGAGAGAGATGGTTCTTTGGGTTATTTTAGAGGTGTCAAGTTTAGAAAGAAAGCATGGCGGAGACGGGAGCTGTGGCAGCGGCCACGTCGGCAGCGTCGGCAGCGGCGGCGACGACGACCACAGGGGGCTTGAGCGGGCGGAATACGATCGCCAATGGGGCAGCGGAGACGAGCACCGAGGGCCTGCCGGCTTACGGGGGTGTGTATGTGCGAGGCGTGCTCTATCCGAGCTTTATGAAGGAGGAGCAGGTGGCGCTGCTGAATGAGCAGAACGAGAGCGAGTCGTCGGACATCTTCCTGGTGACCTACCCCAAGACCGGTACCACGATGACCCAGCACATGCTGAGTCTGATTCTGAACGATGGGGAACAGCCCGAGCGCCACATGATGGACGAGGTGCCCTGGATTGAGAAGGAATTTTGTGTCGGCGGCCTCAACATGGACAAGCTGGCGGCACTTCCGCGCCCCCGTGCCTTTAAGACACACGCCAGCTATCACATGTTCCCGGCAAAGAACATGAGCACCCCCCGACTCATCATCATCACGCGCAACCCCAAGGACACCGCCGTCTCCCTCTTTCACCACATGCGCAACAAGAAATCCTTTGATTTCGAAGGCACATGGGACGATTTTTTCGCCATGGTCCGTGTTTTGATGATGACTTGAAGACCTGGGATGATCCGAACGCTAGTTTGCCGGGGCACTTTGTGTGGATGCTGGCTTACTCATGTGTTGCAATGCCTGCCACTCTGGGCTCCTTGGGCCGGTACGGCACCTTGTGCGTGCGCATGCAATCGCTATGCAGATGAAGCAGGAAACCGTCGAGAGCAGCAACTTCTTCAAGTGGCATGTCAGTACTTGCGATAGGCGATCGCGCCTGTTTGAACGTTCACTGTGGCTCTATCCTCTCATGTTTGTGTATTCGGGGGAACGCCTTGCAGGCACCCTATTGGAAGGCTTATCGGGAGGGCCGCATCAACGCCCTATGGCTGCACTACGAATGGGTCACGGAGCATTTGGAGGAAGCCGTGGCCAAGGTGGCCGCCTTTGTCGACAAAGATTTGCCCTCGGAAACCGTGAAGAAGATTGCCTCGGCCTGCACGCTCGACTCGATGAAGGCCAACCCCAAAGCCGATTGCTCTTGGATCTCTGGCAAACAAGGCGATGCCAAGCACTTGCGCAAGGGCGGCAAGGGCGGATGGATGGATGTGTTTACCAATGAACAAAACCAGGAGATGAACGGCTGGATCCAGACCTGGGCTACCCTTATGCCCGATCTCGACTGGGACTATGGCGTGTAGATGTCACCTACTTGCTCCAATTGTACCCAGTTTCTGGTTAGATGGCTCACAGCGCTGCATTCGCACCGGGAGCGCAAAAGCTACATCAGAGGGGACACGGAGGCAGGCAGGGAGGCATGGTTTGTGGTAGGCTGTGCAAGAAACATGCCTGCAGGGCCAGGGCTCACAACACGGCCATGATAATGAGGAACCGTCGCAAACCACTCAAACATGTCCCTACACCACGTCGTAGTAGTGCTTTCGTGCTTTCCTACGTTGGTGCGTTTCTGAAGCTCTTTATTGCCAAAGTGCTTTAGGTCTTTCCTGTGCTTGAGTGCCTGACTGACCTTGGTGCTTTACTGCCTGCCTGCCTTCGTGCCGTCTCCGTGACACAAGGGGACACAGGGCCATCGTGCTCTACACCTTCGTCATGCTTTTGAACCCCTAAGTGGCTTCGTCATGGTCATGGGTGATGTTGGATGACCTCATTGGCGCGCAACACCCGATTAACGACACACTTTATTACACTTCCGCATGTGCCCTGAAAGAAAGACGAAGCAACACACACACACACACACACACACACACACACACACACACACACACACACACACACACACACACACACACACACACACACACACACACACACACACATTTTTTATTTTATTTTTTAATTTTTGTGAGCAAACGACGACGGCGACCAACGGGTGAATGGCAGTGCGACGCTTGAGCGGTTTGCAGCGGCAGGTGCTGAACCTGTATCGCGATTGTTTGCGGGCTACGTATAACAAGCCGATGGTATGTCTATGTCTTAGAGCGAGTAGGGGTGCAGAACAGGCTTGTGGCCAGGGGTCAATGCTACACAGCAGGCAGCCAGCCGAGCTTGGTCACCACAGCTCGTTTCTTCACGGAGCATCTTGTTTGGCACTGCAGGAGGCACAGCCGGCGTTTCGGTCATTTATTCGGAGCCAATTCAAAGACAACGCTCATCTCAAGCGGACCAATGTCCTGCAGATCGAGTATCTCCTCCGACGCGGCAACAAACAGTTACAAGTTCTCAAAAGCCCTCACGTGCGTGAGCTCAACATGGGTGGGAAACGGCCGTAAGAGTGCCGTGCACAAGCATTGTGCCAATCCCCTGACAGCCGAGCTGTTTGATGTTCTTTTATGACACCTGGCTTTTTTTTGGTCTGATGTTTGGGGCTTTGTCCTTCAAACACACTTCTTCTACCCAACAAACGTCCTCGAGAGCCAATGTGCAGTTTCTTGCACCAAAACCATGGAGCTCACAACCTCCCAGAGACTGTGTCTCACAGGCCATGCGTACTCATCAATTGACACCTTGATGCCTCAACCCATGAGCACCACCGGGAACAAACACACAGAGAGGTGCATGCAGCCTGGGCCTGCCATGTTCCTCATTCAACGCCGCGACGTTTTCCGTGCTCGCTTGGGAGGTGGCGCTTGGCTCTCCTCAATCGCGCGCTCCAAATCGTCTTTTTCTGTCAGATGCACACCGACCGAGCAGCGACGGGAGTGCGCCGTGATGTAGCCGTAAATATTGAGAAGAATTGCAATAGTAATACAAAACTTACCCGCTGTAAGCTGCGCCATTATGCCATGCATCTTCGCGACCTCTGCCGTGATGCTCTGGCACTCGGGCGATTCAATCTTTTCCTGCACCGAATGAAGGTCCACTAACACTCTACCCCAATCACACAGACAGACAGACAGACAGACAGACAGACAGACAGACAGACAGACAGACAGACAGACAGACAGACAGACAGACAGACAGACAGACAGACAGACAGACAGACAGACAGACAGACAGACAGACAGACAGACAGACAGACAGACAGAAAGACAGACATATATGAGAGTGGGCACAGTGAAGCGTACAACACTTTTCAAAATCAACCAGGCAAGGATCTCAAAGAGTGCGTCGAGGCTTTAGGGCAACGACCAAATTGAAACTTACTGTGCGAGTTTCTCGGTCATCTTCAAAAGTTCTTCAGCGGCGCGACCCGCTGCTGCTAGTTCTCGCATTTCCAGGCTCTCAACACGCAAGACCTGGAAAAGCATGTTGTGGTAAGCGCATAGCCAATGAACAGGAGACAGTCGAAAGACGATTCAAACTGCCCACACTATTCGTCAGCAAAAAGCTTCACACGCACCACGTTAGGGCCTTCTTTGGGCATGGCCTTGCGGGTACTGCAAATAATGCCGTGTGAGTCGATCGTGTTTCCATCCAAGGTCAGAATGCTCGGAATGGGAAGGCGAGAACGCTGCGACTTGTTGAACGCGACTGCCGCTGCACGAAAGTCCATTCCTTGAGCAATTGTTGGAAACACCGCAATGTTGCTGTAAAGCGAGGCCATCACTGCAGCAATATCATTCTGCAAAGTTCGTCGTTTGCAAATCAGGTCAGCTCAAGTGTGACGCGTGCCATCCGAGAAAGCGAGCATGTTTTGCTCTCATGCCTCGACTCTCAGTGATCAATCTCTGACTTTTGCTCATTCAGACAAGCAAGGCCACGTACTCGTTTCACCCCAATGAAAGTCTCGAGCATCTTCCCACCGTAATCACCCAGCAATGGGTGCAGCGGCTTCGGCTCGCGAAATTCCAGCATATCCAGTGATAAAATCGAATCGCCTCGACTCTATGAAACGCGCACAACACACATTTGCTCACGTGAAAACCTTCGTGTCATTCAAGCAAGTGATAATATACGGCACAGTGCTTCAAGCAAAGATTCTTTTCCGCTGAATGCATACTTGTCGCTTGGCCGCTTCTTTATTTTCCACAAGCAGCAAATCAAGCCGACCGCGCAGGTACCAAGACACGGCTGCCTGCGCCTCTCGACTGTTGACCGTCAAAAATTGACCCAAAAAACCAATGACCGCCGGATCCCCTGATCGACACTCTCGAGGATATGATTGGTGGCGAGGCAGGCCCTAAGGTCATCAGAAGAAAAAGCATAGAAAAGAAATCATAACGCCACCATTCAAAAAGGCACCGCATTCACATCTGTACGCATGCACGGTGCTTGGTGCTACAATCCATACAGCGGGCCAAAGCTCGCACCTGCCCCGAGTCACGATTGCGCCTCTGTTCCAAAGCCATGTGCAGCTGGACACACAACTGTCTGGCAGCCGTCACGTCCAAAAAAACTCGCTGGTCAATGGCATGACCCAGTCTCGTTGCTGCTACAAGGTCTTTTCGCTCGGCTACGGCGTGTGCAGCCAGAAGCCGTTCCCGCACCTCGCTTTTGTCCCCCCAATGCCCACAGCACGAAAACCCACAGTGACAGCGGTCATAAATCGAAATGTGGACTATGAGCCTTGATAGTGATGCTGACGTTTGGGGGGGGGGGGGGGGGGGGGGG